GTTTGGGCATTTTCTTTTCTTTTCGCTCAGGTTTGGATTTCTTAACCATCTTTTTGTTTTTCTTTTTTGAACTGCCATAGTCACTGTCATCATCGTCTTCCATTAGGAAATCCTCATCACTGCCAGAATCTTTCTCCTGGAATGGTGCCTCGTCCTCTTCCTCTTGCTCCTCCTCACTACCCGCATCTTCCAGGAGCATCTCTCTCTGTTTAGAAGCTGCTTTAGATGCTGCCTGCCTCTGTTGGCGTACATTTTTATGATCATCTTTTTCATCTTCACTGTCCTCTGCGGAATGAGAGTCCTCCTTCTTGGCCTTCACATCTTTCTCTTCTGAGTCTTCACTGTCTTCCTGTGAATTCTTTCCAGATCGCCTCTTATTTTTAGCTTCTCGAGGAGATGATCGGATTTTCTTAGTGGGAGGACCTGAATCTCTTCCATAATCTTCATCTGCATCATCAGACTCCTGAAACTGTGAATAATCAACGACCTTCCTATTTCTGACAGGCCGAGACATGTTCGCTGTCGAAACAGGACCGAGTCGAGAAGCCCAAAGACCAGGACCCCCCCAACCCCGAGCGCTCGCCCCCCGCCCCGAACTTCGGCCGATGGGGCTGCTGTCGCCGAACCCCGAGCTGCTAGCTTCTCAAACTCCGCCACTCCTTGGTTCTGGGCCCCTGGATCAGACGAGCCCCCCGCTCCCCGTCTCTTCAGAATGGATGAATCAAACCAGCCGAAAATGCGCCTGGTGTTTATAAATAGGATATCATGTCTACATCTTGTACAGCAAATGACCACTGGGTAGAGAGTATGCAGTGTGTTAATTATTGAAACTGTCTTACCAATTTGATTTGAAACTGTCTCATTGCTATTTGTTTCTCAATAAAATTATGGGAAAAAAATCTGAAAAAAAATTTAAAAATCTTAAATTCACAAAAATTTATGAAGCTTAATGGTTATACTATTCAGTATAAAGTAGGTTGAGGAGAATGAAAAGAGTAGAATTTGAAGAATTCACCAATGGAAGATGAGAAGGAGAAAAAGTGAGATATAGAATTCTACTAAAAAAAAAAAAAAAAAAGAATTCTATTGAGGAGTAAAAGGTAATAAATAGTATTAGGTAAAAGTATCAGAAAAGAACAAACAAAAAAGAGAAAAGGCAGAGACAAAAGAAAAGAAAAATGAGGAAAAAAGAAAACAGAGAAGTAATTTCAAATCCCAAATAGAAAACAACCTGAGTCTTACAATTTTTACTTTCTAGGGGCTGGGGAGATGGCTCAGTAGAATAAGTGCTTCCTGGCAAGCGCAAGGGCCTGAGTTCAATCCCCGGTTCTGCAAAATATATATATATTTTTTTACTTTCTATCATTTTATTTTTTAATTCATTTTTCCCATAATTTTATTGAGAAACAAATAGCAATGAGACAGTTTCAAACCAAATTGGTAAGACAGTTTCAATAATTAACACATTACATACATTCTTCCTAGTGGTTAATTGCTGTACAAGATGTGGACATGATATCCTATTTACAAACACCATTAGAACAAATCCCTCCATTCTATCATTTTAAATGAATGAATTCCTTCCAGGATTTGCAGTCCTATAATCTGGCAAATCATGATTTTTCTCTGCCTAGTTTTATGGCTTGTAGGTTTGTAGGTTTCCCTGCTCCAGTTGCCCCTCTGTCCATAAGCCCAACTGTGGCAACCATCCAAGCCAAGATGTGTCTTTGCTCATACTGGTAAATGGGGAAAGCAATCAGACCACTGGTCTCTGCTGGGTTTAGGTAAGGCCTCAAAGTAAGGCCCTTGTCCTTCCTGCCCTAAGCCTAAACTTCTTAGAGAGTCTATGTCTATCCCACATTCTCTCTGGGGCTAACTCCTATGGCTCTCACCCACCACTGTGGGAGTATAACCCCAAAAACCTGAAGTAGAATTATTCTGTGGGTCAGTCTTAAACAATTAACCCCTTCCCAAAATGGTACCAGAGGACCAGGGAGATAGCTCAGTAGAATAAGCGCTTGCCTGGCCAGCACAGGGTCCTGAGCTCAACCCCTGTACTGCAAAAAAAAAAAAAAAAAAAGGTACCAGATTAAAAACTCTGCACTGGATTTCTTGTCCAACTACAACTTGTTATAAAGGAGTTGCTTTCTGAGTGAAACCACACACTGCTTTTGTAGTTTACAACAGCTGTGAATTTTTCTTAGGGCTGGTGCTGCTAGCCCAGTCTGTTAACTCTCCTTGGAGTTGCTGATTCTCGAAGGCTTACCTTGTCTTCCAGGCCGTGGGCCTCAGCAGGTTGGTCGGTTGGTCAGTACTTCTGCTGCTCCATGTTGAAGAAAAACAGAACATAGAGAGAGCTTCAAATTAGTGGGCAGCCACACCCTGCGCTCAGAATCTGCGAGTATGGGGTTCACTAGGGTTGAACACCACAGAGCTGGGTTCCATCTGCTATGGGCTCCGTTTGAAGTTTCTTTTCTTCAGCCCAATTTGCCTGTCTGTGTATTTTGATTGGGGAGTGAAGACCATTCAACTTCAGAGTTATTTTCCTAAGGTATTCACCGAATCCTGTCATTGCATTATTTTTCCAGTGCCAATTCTTTGTTTTTGTTTGTGTTTCTCTTCTTCTAAATTTAGTCTCTGTTAAATGTGCATTTTCCTTTGGGCTCTTTGGTGCTGGTGACCACTCTGCCTCTATCTGGGATTTTCTTCAATATTTTCTGGTGTGCTGGTTTACTGGTCATGTATTTCTTTTCATAGAAAGTCAGAATCCTAGTCAGTGTTGAAGGTAATTATACAGTTTTGAAGGAACTTTGCAGAAGTCTAGGTTGGCAACTGTTTTTTATTACAGCTTGAAAAGCTTTGCTTCAAGTTCTCCTGGTCTATAAGGTGTGTGATGAGAAATACATTGCAATTCTGTTTGGTTTTTGCTAGATGCATATGGTGATGCATGCCTGTGATCCCAGAAATCGGGAAGCTGAGGCAGAAGGATCACCATGAGCTTGAGGCCAACCTGGACTACATAGTGAGTTCACAGCCAGCCTGAACTACTCACAGAGCCCCTGTCTCCGAAAGAAAAACAAAGTAATTTGATGCTTTTCTTTAGCAGTATTCTCTTTTGTTGAATTTCTGGCACTTTGATGATTACTGTGTATGGTATGGAAAGGTCCTTTTGTGGTCATGGCTATTTGAGGTTCTAGATGCATTTTATATTCGAATATTGAATTTTTCTCCCAGATTTGGAAAGTTTTCTGCTCTGATTTCAGTGAATAAATATTTTACACATTTGGAATTATCTTCTAATTTTTCCTTTATTTATGTAATTCCTCTTTCGAGTCATCTAGCATTTGTTGGAATTAGCTTGCTTGTTGTCTTGTCATTTTAGGATCTCCCTGAGTGCGTGATGTTTTACATCTACTTTGTCTTCAGTTCTTACGCTCTGGCCTCATATTGGCTAGTCTGCTAGCCATGTTTTCTATTGAATTTTTCATGTCTTATACTTCTTCTCGCTTTACTCTTACAATTTCTAATTCTTTATCAACTTGCCATTCATAGCTTATATTGTCTCATTGAACTCAATTTGTTTATCATTTGTTTTATCTTTTAGCTTGAGAAATATGTTTTAGTAAAATTCTTTGTTTAGTAAAATTCTCTTTAAGCTCACTAAATATTTTATGAAATTACTTACATGCTGCTTCTTTGAGCTCATCAAACGTTTCAACTCTTTGATTGTTTAGTTATTTGTCTGTTACTTCTTCCTGTGGCTTACCTCTAATTGTCTCCTCAAAGCTTCATGCAGTCACTGGGGCAGGCTTTCTAGAGTTTGAAAGAAGTAAAAATATCAAAAGAGAAAGAAAAAGAAGATCGAAAGGAGGACAGAAAGGTGAGATGAAAGATCCAACGGAAGAATAAAAGTTAATAGATTTAAATAAGAGTAACATAAAAATAAGAAAAAATAAATAGGAAAGAAAAAAGGAAAGCAAAAAAGAGAGATGAGCTTTTTAAAAACTTGCGCCATATGTTGGGTTTTTCCACCAAGTGGAGGGAAGGACAGTGAGCCACAACTAGGACCTATTTTGTTTGCACACGCGTGCGTGCAAGTTTGTGTGAGTCCCTGGGCGCTGAGTCCAGCCCTACGGGGGGTGGGGGTGGGGGTGGGGGTGGTCGGTTTCTGCCCTAAGGCTACATGCACTGCCGCTGTTGTGGGGCCGTGCCCCTCCTCGCCCCTTAAATTCCTGCTGTCTTCGCCAAGCTCCACGGGCTGCTGGTCTGTGAGGTGCCCCCTTGCCCCTCCCCACCTCAATCCATCTGAGCCTTGATTACGTTGCCAGGTGGGGAAAACAAACAGCCGGCTGAGCTTAGCGCTAAAGGGAGGCAGCAGCGGGGTGGGGGGTGGTCTTGCGATCCGCGGGACTTAACACCAGCACTGGCCCGGGGTGCTGGAAGGACTAGGTGCTTCCAGGCTGAGCTAGCCACTGCTTAGCCACTGCTCCTGCCTGCGGCCTCTCTGCAGCTGTTCCTCGTGGCTGTTTCCCAGCCAGCCGCTGTGGGAGGGCAGGCCCAGAAAGTGTAGTTGTTCGGTTACTTCCAATCCCGGAGTTTCTCAGTCTCAAGAGAAACCCCTACCCTAAGTAACTCCTAATTAATCATTCCCAACTATGTCAGGCAGTTCCCTGGATTTGGTCTCCCACTCTGGAGTGTCGTTGAAGGGTCCCGTTCAGAGTAAAATTCCGTGCTGTGGTGGCATCTTACGGTACTGCGGGCTTTTCCTGGGATCGTGCTGCTGGCCTTTTGTTTTTCTGGGGGTCGCAGAGCCTCTCCAGGCGTATCTTGTGTGTTCAGAGTCAGGTCCCCTCCCTGGGCCTGGGGTTATGGTTCCCGACCCCTTCAATCTGGGGTTATGGTTCCCGACCCCTTCATTCTGGGGTTATGGTTCCCGACCTCTTCATTCTGTTGTATGTGTGGTTTTCAGTTTTTCTGTGATTCCTAATATTCCTGTTAGCTCTTTCTTGATTCCCAGCTCTCTGTTGCTCTTTGCTAAATGGCTGTTTTTCACATACTAGGATTCCAGGTCCTGGAAGGGTTGTGTTTTGCTGTCGGTCTTAATGCTGTCATTTTTTTTCTTCCCCACAGATAGGTAGATTAAAGGCTGAAGACGTTTGACTAGGCCCAGGAAAACGGAGAGGAGGCCGCGTTTCCACACAGGTGCTATGTCTCTTAATTGTATTTTTACAAAATATAGGCTTAACTCAGAATGGCTTAAACAAAAGTATTCTCGCCTAAAACAAGAATTGCAGGCAACAGGGTCATTTGATTTAGTGTTTCCAAGATGCCGAAAAATACAGGTTCTTTCCTTTCTTCCTTCTCACGCCTGTCTTCTTTTTCCTCTTCTGCCATTTTCCTCAGGGTTGCAGTATATCTGCCAACAGCAACATGTTTCTTTGTTCATATCCAGTGGGCAAGAGAGGAAAACCATCTTCTTGGAGCGTGCAAGACAGAAAGCTCTCCTCGTCAGACTCAGGGGGCCAAGCAAGGTGACAAGCTTCACCTCCCCATTAATCACCCTTACCAGCAGGGAAATGTGCTGTGACTGTCCTACACTAATTGGGGTCCTCTTGGGGACTGGGAATTGGACAGATATTGATCAACACTAGTTGCAAGCAAGGAGGAGGATGAGGACAGGGTGGATAATGAGGGAGCCACAATGGTGCCTGCTGTCTGCACGCCGAATACATC